GTGTCTAAAAGCACCTGAATGTTTCCTCTGAATCACACACGTCTTCTGTTGGGACGCTTAGAATATTCATTGAAATACAAACGTGGAGATTACGGAAGATTTTTAAATGAAAATAGTAAACTCACACTGAGACTATTTCCTGCCTCTGAGCTCCGTACAAGAAGGAACAACACGAATCCTGATTAACCACAAAGAAACACAGAAAGATTCAAAAAATATGTTTTTAACTCAACTTCTATTGTAGAAATAGTGCTGCGGTATAAAAGCTTTGACCCAAAATATATAAATCAAGTTCTCACCTTGTGCTTCACATAATGTGAGCAGAGAAGCAAAGAGAAGAACGACGCACGACCTCATTGTGCAGAATGGAAGCTGGACGATGAAACCAGGAAGTGAAGAAAGTTTCACTTCCTGTTTCTCCGGTTTGACTCACGAGGAAACAAAAGGAAACAAAAAAGACACAAAAGTAAAGAGTGAAAGAAAAGAGAGTTTTTATGGATCCAGATCCGCTTGAGGACGCTTCTCTGGCGGATTGTGCGTTGCGGATGAAGGGTGGAGGTGAACTAAAGGGTGGCGGTGAACTAAAGGGTGGTGGTGAACTAAAGGGTGGAGGTGAACTAAAGGGTGGGGTCGCTTCTCTCGGAGGGTAAATGGAGGCGAGCTGGGTGGAACCAGCTGGACTAGTTGGTTCAGATCAGATGACGAGAATAGAAGCAACGACTCCGTGAAGAGAAATAGAAACACGAGTTTCTCTCAATCAGCTGTGCGACAAAATGCGATAAGAAGCTGAAGGTGGAGGCCAGAGGAAGGTGGTGCTGAGCCAAAGCACCGAAGCTGGTGGAGGATTATTTGAAGCAAAACGAGCAGAAAGTTCAAAACTAAGACATAAAGAAGAAAAAAATCATATCCGACTCAAGAATGTCGCTGGTCTTCTTTGGAGGAATCCAGGAGCGATTTGCACGAAAACGAGTTGAGATCAAAAGTGAACAATGTTGCTACAAAATGTCCGGAGAAGTTACTGGAAACGGGTCGATTCTTCTTCTTCCTCTTCTTCTTCTTCTTCTTCTTCTTCTTCTTCTTCTTCTCTTCTGGTTTGAATCGTGTGTATTTGCACACCGCCACCTGCTGTCCGGAGTGCACATTCAGGGTCCACTGCTCAAATGCCGATTGTAAAATGTCGCACGTTCTAAAGTCCTGCGCAGTTTTGGTACATTTAGCATTATTATGTGAAAAAAAGCAAAATATTATCCTGTGCCCCCCCGCATGACTTCAACGTGGACAGTACGTGGCCCCCTTCCTAAAATAAGTTTGACACCCTGCGTCGTCAAGTCTGACATATAGAGTGAACATTTAACATTTACATTTAACATTTATATTCATATATAATGTTATGACAAACATTATCCTTGGAAAAGTTATTGGATGGATTTACATGAATTTCTCTCTAAATGTTTGAAAGAGTGACATTTGAATATTGTCGTGTTTTTTTTCATATAATAATGCTAAATGTACCAAAACTGGATTTTAGAACGTTCGACATTTTACAAACGGTGCCTCATAAAATGAACTACCGTTGCCCACTAGATCCTACGACTTGGTCCCGTCTCTTTTACAAACTGTATCAGTGGCCAAAACTTCCCTATATGACTTTATATCTATGGATTTCTGTATGTTATCATAGTTCCTTCCTTTAGTTCCTTCACTGCCTCCCTTTACCAAATGGAATATTTAGTTTTTCCCGCCACATATGAACACAAACACTCTTTGGAGTCTCAGCATTAACAGCGATATTTCCAGCACCAAATCCTCTCAGGTCCTCTCAGATGACCCCTCTCTGATGGCCCCAAGATCATTGCCGTCATTTCAGCGCTGAAGACGGACAGTCTGTCATTAATTATTTTGCATATAGACCTATTGAATTCTGTTGTGAAAACCCACGTGCCCACTCCCATTGTTTTTCAATCCATCAGTGTATATTTGCAGGTATTTATAATACGTATTGTTAATGTGCTCTTGAGTCTGATAGCCAATATCACACGTTTTTCCCATTAATTTTTCCCTGTTCTATTAGTGTTAGATTCACATTGTTTGCTGGAAAAATCCACGGCGGAACATTTCCCCACGTTACATTGGGACTAAACTCATACCCATTTAACCCAAACTCTTTCACTACTGATCTGATACTCCAACAAAACCTTTTCCCACTAGTTTCACTCAATATGGCGTAGCTCATTTTGATGGGCTTAGAGGCAACTCGTCCATCTCTACCAGGAGTGTGTTGTTTAGGGTAGATTTAATGCTTTGTTGCTTTGTTATTAGATATAATCAGATATAACATATTGAACTATTGAACAGCTACACATTACACATAACAATTTGATTTTTGTCTTATTAAACCTACACACTCTGAACAATTATGGTCTAAAGTAGTCTATTGGTAGTTAGTTAACATAATACCAAACAAATCAACAATTATAGATACAAGCTAAGTGTAGGAGCCATTTATGTTTATTGTTGGCATGATATTTTATTTTGTTTGGATATATTTATATTAGTATTTTGGACACTAGGTGGCAGTGATTGGTTCCACATGGTTGTATATAAGGGGCATAGGTGACAGGAAGTGGGGGACACAGATAGGGGGAGCACACACAGTTCTCACCACACCACAGACCATAGATCATAGACCACGAATTGGAGTCCACAGATCAAAATCAATCAATCCTGCTGCTGAAGTCGCTCACAATGCACTTTTGTCGCCATGCAGATGTTGTTTTTGTGTTATTTAGAGGGAAACTGCGTGGATTTTAGCATCAACAATTATAGGTTCAAGCTAATAATAATGCGGTCGACGAAAGCGTTCTTAAATGCAGCCTAGTGACTTTAAGACTCAGCTATTCAGACACAGCTTGAAAGTGAAGAACTGGAGGATGAAGTGACAAAAACAAGCAGAGGTGTAGAAGCCATACATTGGGTTTGATTATTCTTTTCTATTATTTCTTCTTTCCTTCTACATTGTTGGTATGTGCACGTGTGGTGTGACGTCATTTGCATCTACGACACCAGAAGGGGGTGTGGTGTGTATGTTAGTGTGTCTGTTCACCTGTGGGGGTCGGCGGATTGTTTGGAGCATGGCTGCAGGGTGAGCATGGGGAACAAACTATCTTTTGACCGTCATCGTCACTGTCACTGTCACTGGGGTAATTATTGTCACTACGAAGT